CACCTCGGCTCGGGGCTGACGGTCGGGCTGAGCAACCTGGCGACCGGCCTGGCCATGGGCATGGCGGGCGAGATTGGCGTGCAGGATTCCGCGCGGCAGCCCAAGCTCTACATTGGCATGGTGCGCCTCCTCGCAACGACCTCCCATGACGCTGCACCCATTGACACTACTCCCTCACCGTCCGCTGCTCCGTCGCCGCCGCCGCCCTCGCCGCCGCCCTCGCCGCCGCCTTGACCGCCGCCTTCACCGCCCTCGCCCTCGCCGCCGCCTTCACCACCGCCGCCCTCGCTGAAGCCCTCGCCGCCGCCGCCCTCACCACCCCGCCCTCGCCCCCGCCGCGCCGCCCATTCGCCCCCGCCGCCCATTTGCCCATTGCGCCTGTGCTCTCAGGTGCTCATTTGGTCCTTTGGGTCCGCCCTCGGCCTCTACGGGCTGATCGTCGCGCTCATCATCGCCGTCAAGGACGGCAGCGCGATGTGCGGCTGCCTGCTCGGCGAGGATGGCCAGGTCACCTGCACCGACCTGTGAGGCACCGCGGCTCGCGAGCTCAGTTATCATCAGCACAGGGCGACGGGGCGGCGGCGGCGGCGGCGGCGGCGGCGGCGGCGCGCTGCGACACGCCCCCCCCAGCCACGCCGAGGGCCGTCGCCTGCGGGGCGCCGCGCTCTCGGCATTGGGTCGGCCCCTCGTCTGTGCATGGGCTGCGCGCCGGGCCGTTAGCACACTAGGGGCGCCAGCAGCCCGGGCACCTCGGTACATTTACTTGGCTTACGTCGGTGTGAGTCTTTACGTTTACTCTTGCACATTGAAAGTAAAATATCTTTTACTTCCAACACCCGGACGTTCCCAGCAGGGCGTGATGGCTGATGCGGGAAGTTGTTGGAAGGTTCTTGATTCTTGCACACATTGAAAAAGAAGAAAAACTGTTCGCAAGCAAAAAGGTAATTTTTTGGGAGCGGCAGGGGACAGGTCATGGCTCATGCAAAAGCCATAAATATATGCCATAAAACACGGGCCCTGACCGCGGTGTGACCGAAAAACGCGCGTACATCGGCACATTGATCATTGTCGGCCGATGGCGATGCGCGGCTCGCCGCCCACACCCCACGCGGTCCCTAGGTGTTATATAGCATAAACACCGTCCGTGCAGGGCTCCTAGGCCATCACTAGGTCCACAGTGGACGGACACACAGCCACAGCCGGCCCAGCGGGCTCCCGACCGGAGCCCGTCCGGAAGGCACAAACGGACACTCTACCGACCTCTACACCCCTAGACAACCCACTCCGACTAGCATACGGTGTCGGCCCGACCGCCCTGCGGCCCCAGCTACCAGCTGGCGCCGCTCGGCCCGGCTGGAGGCGCCTGGGGCGTCCAAAATCGCGGAGCCGGCGACGTCCTCCGGCCAGCAGCCGGATCGGGCGTCCGACCCGCCCCCAGCCCGCCCCCTCGGCGACCCGAGATGGTCTCCCCGACCCCCGAGGCTTGGCGCACCGCGGGAGGGGGGCAGCCCAGCCACCCTGCACCGCCCAGGCCGCCTCTGCGAGCCCAGGCGCGCCGTCGAGAGAGCGAGAGGTAGAGCGGCGCCTCGGCGCCGCTGGAATCGGGCTCGAGGCGGCCCTTTGTTTTCGGACCCAGCCAGGCTCGGACTGGACACCAGCGGCGGTAGAGCTCTATGGGGGGGGGGCAGTCATCAACCTCACATCCAGGGGCGGGGAGCCCCAAAGGCATAATGATTTCTTTTTCTCGCGATGT